ATATATAATACATATATACACATATATATACAGTATACATATGTACACAAGATAGTTAAGATAGTTATACAGCCAGCTTCTCATAGTTCACAGAAAAGAAACTTTTGTGCTAGTATCATTTAGACAATATTTCATGCCTATATCTTGTATTCAGAGTAACTACTATGAAGATAACATTATGCAGTGTATCAGTTATTGTTACTTCCCTACTGGCCTGTTTTGAAACTCTGTTCTATTTTTTATTTCCTCTTTAAAAAAGATTTATCTGTTTTCTGACAAATGACTCAAATTTGCCCTTTTTCACAGCTGAGTAGTACTCCGGTGTGGATGTACGCCATAAGACCATCAACTGATCAATGGATAAAGAAAATGTGGAATGGAGTGTTAGCTGGTGCAAATGCTTGATTCAGTTTGCTTCCTTTTATAACAGGGCTCTTATGCTTTTTTCTCCCTGAACTACTTTTTCTGGAGACAACATATCATCGTGTAATTCAGGCCGGCCTTGAGTTCTCTAGGTAGCCCGGGCTGGCCTCGAACTTGCTGAGGCAGCAATTCTCCTGCCTCAGCCTCTCAAGTGCTGGGCTTACAGGCATGTGCCACCACACCCAGCCTCTTTGAACTACCGACACAAAATTTGATTCCAATGCACAGCTTTCTGTGCCACTGAAGGGAATGTGAAGATGGGCATGAAGAGTTTATAAGTTCATTCTGGCACGTGAGGGGCACCGTGTGTCAACACTAAAGAACAATTAGAGTATTTACCACCATATCCTTGAAACATCACTTGTTGCCAAGGAATACTATAGAATGACAGACCAGACTGTCCAGATGAGCACTGTCCGAAGGACACCGGAAACCGGGCAGACTCGTGCTGCCTGTAGAAGCTGCCTTCTTGCCTGTACGCTAAGTGCGCTGGACTCTAGTCCAGCAGGCCACCACTGGACACTCAAGTCCTCTTCCAGTGATTTCCCTGTGTGGCCAACCACCAACCAGACCTCTGAGAAGTTCCTGCCTGGCCTAGGTTATCTCCCTCCCCATCATCTACACACGGACCTTGTGGCAATTTCCTCCATCCCACCGCCACTGGACGTTCCAAGAGCCTGTGGGAATACTCCTGTCCAGCTCTCCGGGCGGGGCTCTATCCTCTCCTGCTAGTAAGTCTCATTTAAATATCCGTTCCTGCTCGTGCCCTAATAAAACTTCACGTCTCAGCACACCTGGGCTTTAGATGAGATGGTCTTGGAGCATGAAGAAAATGTCACAAGTCAAAACTGCAAGCTTAAAGCCAAGGGTTACAAGAGAATACTTTTGAGAGGAACAAAGGAGTCTCTCTATTTTGCACTTAATTGGCACTTCCTGATCACCTGGGTCTCCTTGCGCCTTCTCAAAAACGCATTTCTTTCTTTTTTTTTTAATTTAAAGATAAAAGGAGGGAAACATTAACAGACATACATTTTACAACATATCACAAGCACAATACAGACAATACAGAGTTACAAACAAAGTGGTAGGGAATTAACAATGGTGGTTGTATTACATATTGATATCTTCAAAGTGGCTTCTCATGAAAACAGATATAGACATGCAATACTGGTCAACCAAAGACTCATTGACAGTTTCTTTCAGCATAGAAATAGAAGACAGAAGAACAACCATGTTAACTATCATGTATATACATACATACAAAATTTCTCCTTCTTTCCCTTCTCTTTTCCCACAAAAGTCTGCTCACCGCGATGATGGTGCAAACGGGACCCAGGAAGCTCCATATAAATCCTGTCTCCGTATTCAGCCAACAGCTGTGGACAGAAACGAGAGGCATGAGCAGACGCCTCAGTGTCCTGACCTTGCGGTTGTTCTTGGATCCACAGATGAGCTGACGGGGACGATCCTGAGGTGAAATCAGGTGGAAATTCTCATGATGGACCAGGCTGTGTTTCTGTCTTCCCTGCAGCACGATGAACCCTCTTTCAGACATGCTACCTGGGCAGATGTTCCCGAAACGTTCACCCAGGAGGCGGGTCAAGCTCACTACCAGTTCATAACCTTTGTAATCCCTTCTCCCCCTGTGCAAAACTCTACTCAGACACTATGTCATTCAAATCTCAGACGAAATCCAGCGACCAGCCCCTCCTCACCATCCTCAGCTAAGTACCCGTCACAACAGCGGGGGCCTCTCCAGCAGAGGTCACCGCATTTTATTTTTATTTTTGGTATTTTGAGACAGGATCTGACTAGGTACTCCAGGCTGATTTTGAACTCGTGGTGATCTTCCTGCCTCAGCCTTCCAAGTGTTGGGATTGCAGGTGTGTGACACTGCACCTGTGTTTTACCACGTTATCAAATAGCAGCTTTCTATATCATAAATTATCTTGTTCAATTATTTGTGTATTTGCAAATTTTCTGCCCTAGCTAGACTATGAGAATTTGATCCATGGGTGCTTTGGTCATCTGTGTAATAAACAAGCAAAGAGCTCAAAGCCTAGCATGAACTGGCATCCCGTAATTATGGGAAAGAGAATGGACCGTCTCTTTCTATTAGGTCACAAATGCATATTTTCAGCTATGTTTGGTTTATTATTGTTGGTAACAATGCAGAGATTCCTCAAACACTGAGGAACAGAAATTCTATTTGACCCAGTTATTCCTCTTCTGGGCTTCTTTCTGAAGGGGACAAACTCACAGTATCACCATGGTGCATGCATGCCCATGCTTAAGGCTTCACAGTTCGCAAGAGGTAAATTATGGAAGACGCCTATGTACCAAGCAACAGATGAACGCATAGAGGAAACGTGGTACACATTTGCCACTTTGACCACATAAACACCATCCTTCCACAGGGAACAACAGCACCAATGTCCCTTTAGCAAGTGGAATGCACAGGTGTAAGAACAAACAGAACCAAGCGAGGCCATTCGTAAGTTCTGCCCAGAATGAGTCTCAAGTGGTAACGACTCCGGAATATGTGCAGTGTACAACCCCCGTTACAGTCCTCGGTGGCTCTGAGACCAACAGTTTTGTTGCTACGGTGCTCGCTTTCCTGTACACATGATTATCATCCCGAGCTCTGGCGGCGGGTCTTCAGGGAGAGGGAGGACGTCACTCACCGGTTATGCATCCCGTAGCCCTGTGGCTGCACGCCCGCTGAGATCGTCACCACCAGCCCCGGGAGCCCATAGCCGAAGGCACAGAGGTGCAGCATCTTGATGTTGCGGGAGCTGAAGTAATTCACCACCTTCAGGTTCCGGACCATCAGGAAGAGCATCACGGCCTCCACCAGCATCCAGAAGAAGCAGGCGAGGAAAAGGTAGTGCAGGAACCCCGCGATGATGGCGCAGCCCGTCTGCGGAGGAGAGGCACGCGTGTTGGTGCTTCCACTCAGGGAGAAGACTGAGAGAAAATGGACAGGGTGGCCATTCTCATGGGGGCTTCCCTAGTGACTTCCACTCGTTCCATCCACACGTATTTCTAGATCCATGGCACGACTCCCTCCGTGATGGGACCCCTTTGTCTGCACCTGAGGTTTCCCAGGATGTGTGACCTCCAGAGCTAAGACTCAACAGGTTTTGGCAAAGCCAGATACATTTAAAAATGTCTGAAGACACGGGAGGACGGGGTTCAGCAAACCACGGCCCATGGGCTGACTGCTTGTTTCGTACCTAAAGTTTCATGGATGCAAAGCCACGCCCACTTATGTATTGTCAGTGGCTGCTTCCAAGGCGCACTGGTGGAGCGGGGTAGTCATGACACGCTGTGTGGCTCACAGGCTAAAAATATTTACTGACTCTGCGAGATTGCTTGCCCAAATGTGCTCCAAATGACAAAGTGGGTCCCAAAGCCTTGAACATTTCAGAGGCTGGGCAGCTGAACATCGCCCAGAGAGAGTGGTACAAAGAACGCAGAGAGAATGACAGCCTCACCCCACATGGGATTTGGACGCCCTGTGAGGAAGCCCAAGAGCCTACTCGGTGTCAGGCATGTAGCCAAAGTTCCTGCGCTCATGGTGCTCTCGGTCCAGGCAAGGAGACAGATACAGAGCAAGTGGCACAGCCCACAATCACCATGGTTTCCAGTGACTCCTGGGGAATAACAATCTGGTGATAGGGATTTGCTGAGAGTCTCAGCCATAGCACTGCTCAGGTTCATAACACGATTTGTATCATTCCTCTCTTGGGGGGACGGGGGCATCCCGTGCATTGTGGGTGCTTAGCGGCTTTCCCAATCTCTACCCATTTGATGTCAACATCACCCTCCCCCCGTTGTCATAAACACAAATGTCTCTGGACACTCTCATGTATCTCATAACGGGTGATGTCACCATGGATAAGAATCACCGGTTAAGATATAACTGACAGGAACATCATAACTCATAGTGTGTTCAGGGACACTATTTTCAACCGGCAGCGACCACAAGAAGTCCACTAGGGGAGTGGCCAGTGTGTGTGTGCTGGTTGAGGGCACAGTATGTGCAAAGGCCCTGACAGAGAGTTGGGCAGGGATGAGCAGAGATAAGGAGGTTATGGGGCACATCCTGAGGGGGGCGGACCTGGTTGTTGGTCTTGTCTATACCGGTGAGGAAGAGAAACTTGGCCAAGAAGAGACACACACACAGGTGCAGGTGGAGATAGGTGTTGTGGTTGCGAATGGCATGACACAGCAGGAAGGTGGCAATGGCCAAGAGGAGGCACACCAGGGAGATGATCATGCCCACGTGGCTGATGACATACAAGGAGAACTCCATCTGTCAGGAAGGAGATGTGCTGTTAGCCTCAGAAGAGAATCACTGCCTCCCACCAGCAGGCAGAAAGAAACAATGACCCACTCATCTATCTTGGGAGAAAGGGCTCCTAGCCTTTTCTCCCTCTGACACTCAGAACAACCCAGATTCTCTATCTTGTCACCCATTCCAACCCAATGAAATTCTTAGTACTCATTCCTACCCTGTTGTATTCTGGGCCCTGTGTGTTATGGGGCTGGACATGCAAGAACTACGTCTCCCAAAACCCCTTGGGGTTAAGTTTCTGGGTCATGACCCTTGGGTTGGCCAATGAGGTGCTTCCACAAAAGGTTGGGGACAAAGAACAGAGAAAACAGCTAGCTTTTGTGTGGGTAAGAGTGAGCCTTGGCTGGACTCTACATGCCAACTATCCAGTCCTTAACTGAATAGGGGCACATGGGACATGACAGGAACAATTTCCTTTTAAATGTATTTTCATTGGTGCATATTAATTTTGCAAAGTACTGGATTTTGATGTGGTGTGTTCATACATGCGTGTAATATATTTTGATCATGTCCATTTCCCCCAATTACCTTTCCTTATATTTTTCTCCCCCTTTGCCTTACTCTCTTCCCTTTGTCTAATAAGCGTATCCTTTCTACTTTCAAGTCATCTTCCTTTACAGTCCACTGTTAGGGAAAGTAGGAATGAAACTGTCTTTCTTGATCTGGCTTATTTCACTTAATATGGTGATTTCCAGTTCCACCTAGTTGCCTGGAAATCACATAATTTGTCCTTCTTTGTGGCTGAATTGTGTCTACATGCAATATTTTCTTTATTCCTTTATCCACTGAGGAGCTGGTTCCATGTCTTGGCTATTGTGAATTGTGCCACAATAAACATGGGTATGCAGGAAATCTGTATACCTCCTTCAGCTATGTGCCAAAGAGTGGTCTAGTGGGGTGATATGGTAGTTCTGTTTTTACTTTTTTGAGGAGTAACCCTACTGGTTTCCACAGAAGATATACTAGTTTATATTACCACCAGCAGTGTAGAAAGGTTTCCTTCTTACATCCTCACCAGTGTTTACTGTTATTTTGTGTTTGTTTTGCTGTGCAGAAGCTTTTCAATTTGAAGCAGTCTCTGTTGTTTATTCTTTCTTATACTTCCTGTGTGTCTAGAGTCCTTTTTTAGGAAGGATTTTTTTTTTTCTGGTGCATATGACTCTAAGTGTTTCTCCTATGTTTTTTTCTAGAGATTTCAAAACTTCAAGTCTTACACCTAGGTTCTTTTGAATTGGAGTAGCATTTGAATTGATTTTGTACAGAACAAATGAGAGGTCTAATTTCAATCTACATACAGATTTCCAGTTTCCCCAGCACTACCTGTTAAAGAGATTCTATTTTCTCCAACATTTGCTTTTGGCCCATTGTCAAGAACCAGACAGTTGTAGTGGCTCAGGTTTGCTTCTGTGTCCTCTGTTCCATGCCACTGGTCTGTATGTTTAGTTTTGTGGCTGTGCCATGCTGTTTTCATTACTCTAGCTTTGCAGTATGATTTGAAATCAGGTACTGCAATGCCTACAACCTTGTTCTCTTACTTAGCATTAATTTGGCTGCCCTGGGACTTCTGTATTTCTGTGTGAATTTTAGGATTATTATTTTATTTTTATAGTTCTTTATTAGTATCAGTTTGTGATACATAATAAATACATTCATTATAGGGAATTGATAGTCTTATCTATCTCTCTATCTATCTGTCTATGAACCTATGTATCCCTTTTCCCTGAAAATAAGAACTGAGTAGAAAATAAGCCCTAGGGGCTGGGGATCTAGCGCAGTGGTATAAGCGCCTGCCTGGCAAGCACAGATTCCTGAGATCAATCCCCAGTACTGCAAAAAACACACACACACCAAAAAACCCCAAAAAACCAAAAAACAAAAAAAACAAAGCCCTAGAGTGATTTTTCAAGATGCTCATAATGTAAGTCCCACCCTTAAAATAAGCCACAGTTAAGACTGTCAACCAGATGGCTGCACTTGGTATGTCTGCTGCAACACATGTTGGGTGCACTGAAGTATAAAATAATCATGTCAATATATAATAAAGTATAAATAAATAATATTATTGACAGTAGCACTTAAGTGGTAATACAAATTATAATTGATTATTTGCATATACCCAAGCAGGAGCCTTTGGATGAGAGGTAAATGGCTACGTAAATAGATAAACTTGAGACTTGGCAGCCAAATGACCAATCAGAGTACAGACACAGTGCACGGATAACAGGCACAACCGACAACAAATGGACACGCCTGTGTCTGATATGAACCTTCACAGTCCGATACATGGTGTGTCCTAATGGGAGTACTTAACGCACTGCGTGAAAGAAGCATCTCTTGAATTTTGGTGCCTACAAGTTCTCATCGCTTGTGTGTGGGCCATCACTCTTAATTGTCATCATTTTTCTTGCCACTCCTGTAAGTCTTCTCGTACCACTTGATTTCAAGGAAACTTTGTGAAGCCCAGCCTGCAAGACGTTGTGACTTGGGTGAAGAATTCATGCAATAAAATCCCTGACTGCTGCATAGACTATTTTAAGAAACATTGTTCTTAGTTCTTTATAGTTCTGGTGAAACTCTGCAGAACTTCCACCCCTATCAATGACTAGCTTTGTGGCTAGGTAGGGTACTGAGCCTCAATCTCGCATTCTGTAAACTGTGTCAGAAAACAATCAACTTAAAACACAGTCCAGTGCACAATAGGTGTTTCTGAAATAAGACCTGTTAATTTTATTGTGTGTTTCTGATTTTATATTTGATTCTTTGTCTTCCCTACAAGATCGTGAGTTCCCAAAGGACAGAAGCATGGTACGCATTTCCCTCTGTCTTCATGGCTGCTTCCTACAACACCAAACACCACAAGGGACACACAAAGGATGAGACAGTGGTATGTCAGTCCACAAACTCTTTTGTTTGGGAGCATGTTGGTCTGCAGACAGAAGCATTTGGCAAAATTTTATTTTTGTTTGCAAGCTCTGCATTGAATGACTCACATGACTGGCTGGAAACACAAATGTGGCCATCTTTTCCAGAATCTCAGAACAAATTAGTTCATGAACTGAGGCTCCCTGGTATATTCCCACTGGGTTTTAGTTTTTTTTTTTGGTTTTTCTCTGGTACCAGGAACCGAACTCACAACCTTGCGCTTGCCAGGCAGGCACTTTTGCCGCTGAGCTAAATCCCCAGCCCCTCCCACTGGGTTTTAGGAGGTGCTCAGGAACCCAGAGAAAAGAGCATCAGCACTGACCGTAAGCTCCCCAGAGGCCATGATGACGGCCAGGTTTGCCATGTGGTTACAGCTGCAGGTTGTGTGCGTTTCCGACTCTGTAAGGGTCACGCAGCCAGATGGTGTCCACCTCCCATCCTCAATATCTGTGTTCCAGGAGACACAGATGGCCTTCTCGAGCTTGTGTTTTGGCTGAAAAATCAGAGGGTCAAGTGACTTGAGAACTTCTCTCCAATGTGACCAACCTCAAGAGCCATTTGGGGCCCATAGATACAGAATGGAAAGACATGATTCCACTTCCATAGGCAGTGAAGTCCTCCTGGATACTGCTGCCCACATTGTGGAAGCTACGAGAAAACTCCTCCTTCAATCAAATTTGGGCTAAGGCTGGCTGCATGGTCATTCACTGTTTTTTTACTGGGAATTTATGGCATACTTTCTTCTGTGCTGCATACAGGAGATGTCAATAAGTAGAAAAGACATGGCCCGGTCCTCTGGTGGAACAGCAGCACAATGAGAGGAGAAACAGGAAAGTGAGAAACAGAGACATTTTTAGTAAGAATAAAAATAACAGTACGTCTTCAGAGTGTGTAACAGTAGTGAAATTAATCTTGTGTTATGGACTGGCATGGAAGGTGTTTGTGAACTGATGTCACTCGAGGCATGAAAGGGGCACTGGAGTTATACATGTGGTGAAAGCAGGGCATTTTAAGCTGAAAGAACATGTGCAAATGCCCTGAGGCAGAAAGGACATGAATGTATTTCCAGGGCTTCAATTAGCATGGAAGGAGGTAAACATAGTGCTTTGCATACTGGAGCACAGAATCAAACCTGAACATTGATAATAGACCAATGGTGAACTCTCTAGAACATCCTGTCAGGTTATGTACGCATGAGAATTATCAGAAAAGTAAAATATATTTGAAAAAAATAACTCAAGAGTTGGGAAGACGGTATGTTTAAGAAAAACATCAGTGACCCAAGTGGAACCAGCAACCAGTAAGGCCCCAGCAGGAGCACACATTACTGGCAGGCAGGACCAGTGCAGCGGACGAGTCTGAAGCAGCAGTGAGAATATAGAAGCCAGCAGTTGGTAAGTTATGTGAACCAAGGCTGTGCTTTGGCCCACAGATATACAGAATAGGAGCAGGCGGGTGAGGCCACATTTTTTATGAAAGGCTCAGGGAGAACTCCAGCAACAGAGGGCCAGTTCCAGCCCCCACATCCATTGGCCAAGATCAGTCCCACAACCAGCACAAAATCCAGGGAAACTTGGCTGGAGTTCACAACACAATTCTCAGGTCAGACCTGGACCTACCACAGAACTGTGGTCACTGGAGCAGTTTTACCACTTTTATTTTTCTCTGTTTGATTGGTTTTCCTTTTTCTATCTTGTTGTTTTTTTTCTGCTTTGTTTAATTTTCTGGGGTTCTTTCTGTTTTTTGTTTCTCCTCTCTTTCCCCCCCTCTCTTTCTCTCTTTTTCCTTTGCTCTTTCTTTCATGACTTAGACTTCTTACCTTCCTTTTTGATTTCTTCTACTTGGCCTCTTTCTCTCTTTCCTCGACTCTCTTGCTTGATTTTATGATCCTTTCATGTGAGTAAACATTGTCTTTTTTCTTTCTGGTTCAGTTCAATACTCTTTTGCTTTCTCTTCCTTTTTTCTCCCCTCCTGCATTTTCCAGTTTCCCAAAACTTGTGTGATCATCCTTTGCCCTCCAGCCTTGGTCTTACTACATCTGACCTCATTCACCTCTCTATCTTGTCCCTGATCCCTCTTGAACACGCCCCTGCAACAGGGTAAACATCACTCCACAAAGGGGAAAATTGTAGCATACAAGTTCCTGGTGTACTGTACAAGAGCTTTTCAAAACTTTGCTCTCTTGAAACTGCCTAGCTCTGTAACTGCTTCATGGCTTTATAATTACTTTCCTGACCCCTATAACCACGACAGTGTAACTGAACATGCAGAATGCCTGATTGTACCATTGTACCAAGCATCATAAACTGATGATCATTAATCTATCCTTGTAACTGATTATCTCACCCTGCTAGCTAATCAGAAGAACTGCCAAGCTGTTCTGTCTTGCCTTTGTATGTCCTGCTTGTGCGTCATATAAAAACCCTAGACCACCAGAGATGGGGGCTTGATATTCTGGAAATGATCCTGATCAGTGCCTGTCAACATAAATAAATCTGCCTCCAAATCCTGGGTTTTGTTTCAATGTCTCTGCTTGCCATTGCAATATAACTGCAGAATTTGATCTTGTGGTTAAAGGTATCAGGTTAATAGTTACTACAGATTGTCATAACCAGGTGTTATGTGGCTAGTGACTTAAAGGGGGTCTAGACATCCCCCAAAGGCTCATGCAGTCATGGGGTGGGCTTTTAGAGTTTATGATTGATTCATGGTCCAATGTTGGGATTATGGGTATGAGTGCTACACCCTCCCTGGGGCAGGTAGCTTGCATATAGTAGAAGGGAGGGAAAAAGACTTCCTCTCTGCTCTTCCCTTTTTGCTCTTAGCGCTTTTTTTGTTTTCTGCCACCATGAACAGTTGCTCTGTGCCATGTGCCACTCTGCCTTGGAGCCAACTGAGTATGGACTGAAACCTCCACAAACTGTGAACTAAATAAACCTTTCCCTCTTTAATTTGGGTGCCAGGTATTCTGTCTCAGCAATGACAGCAAACTAATCAAGACACCAGGCTATGCTGAGACTACTGTTATTACTAACTGTACTACTTTAGGGAGGGTGTCATACCTGTTATAAGCAGTGTTTCTCCCTTGTATGACAACACTGTGATTTTATGGAGTTATAACCATCACCATAGTCCAGTGCCAAAGGACTTGGTTCTGAGCCAAATAAACAGCAACTTGTCATGCTCAATACATTGGGAAGGCAGATTCAGAGCTCCAGTGGTGCAATTGGTTAGCGCGCAGTACTTATACGGGAAGACAGGTTCTTGAGATAGATAGGAAGACCAAAACCACCTACATCTAGAAGACATTCCTGAGGAACAGACATTTTCTAGGTAAGCCTTGATACTAAGAAAAATCTATCTACCATAAGAAATCTAGAAGCATCAACACAGAAAACAAAATAAAATAAAAAATAGAAAATGACAAGATGTAGAAGCAAAATGCAACCCAATACCAATAGCCAGGCACATTGTCCAGAGCACAGTGAGATAGAGGAAGTCAGAAACCAACCACTGGAACTTTCTGAAATGATAGCAACAGAAGTGAAAAAACAGGCCAGGTGTGGTGGTGCATGCCTGTAATCCTAGCACTCAGGAAGCTGAGGCAGGAGGATTGCTGTGAGTTTGAACTGAACTACACAGTGAGACCCTGTCTCAAGAAAAGTGAAAAAATAAATGGAAGAGGCTACAAAAAAATAATCTCTAAGGTGCACAAAGAAATGCCAATCAAAATAAAAGATATTAAACCAGATACAGATAAGAAAATAAATAGAAGAGCTCAGGAAAATCATGGAAAAAATCAGCGCTCAAAATAGGAAAGAAATGGAATCCATGAAACAGAGCTAAACAGAAATCCAGGATGTTAAAGACTCCATGGAAAGTATATGCAACAGACTGAAAGAAGGCAAGTATAGAATATCAGATGTAGAAGATGGGATTTTGGCTAGTGACCATGAAAAGAAAGATATGTTAAAAGTAGCAAGATACCATGAAACATCAATTCAACAGCTATAAGGTGAGTGAAAGAATAACATAAAATTGATTGAAATCAGTAAGAAAGTTGGAGACTGTGCAAAAGCCATAAAAAAACCTCTTCACAGAAATAATGGCAGAAAACTGCCCAAACATGGATAAAGAATAAATGAAGCATATAGAACTCCAAATAACCATGACCCAAATAAATCTACACCGAGACATATAATAATCAAGATTCCAGAAATTCAGCACCAGAACAGAATATTAGAAGAGCCTAGAGAAAGGACACAGGTCACCTCGAAAGAAGTCCATTCGAATCACAGCAGACTTCTCAACACAAATCCTCAAATCAAGGAGAGTTTTGAGGGAGGTATTTCAAGCCCTAAGAGAAAACATAATCCAATCCAGATTGATGTACCCTGCAAAACGATCTTTCAAAATCAATGGAGAAATAAGATACTTCCATGACAAAGAACAACTGAAGAAATTCATGACCATCAAACCAGCTCTACAGGATGCTCTGAAGGATATATTAGAAAGAGAAAACAAAGAGCACAAGCACATGGACACCAAGAGAAACAAGCCACTACCACACAGGGCAAGCAATTAAACAGAGGAGAAACATAGGGAACCAGTACAGGAAAATAACATCAAAAAGATAAGCCATACATATCTGTTATGACTATCAGTGTAAATGGTCTCGATTCACCAATCAAAAGAAACAGACTGGCAGAATGGATCAAGAAGCAAGGTCCAGCAAAACATTGCATACAAGAAACACATTTAACTCAGAAAGAAATTTGTAGGTTGAAAGTCAAAGGGTGGAAAATAACACCCCATGCCTCAAGCCCAGAAAAAAGCAAGAGTAGCTATTTTATTTGCAGACAATGTGAACTTCAAGCCAAGACTGATCAAAAGAAACACAGCAAGTCACTATAGACCTGTCATGAGAAAACTCAAGGAAGAAGAGATAACAATCATAATTATATATGCAGCCAATACTGGTGTGCCCACCCACATAAAACAAATACTAACAGACATGAAAAATCAAATAAGCACTAACACAGTGGTAATGGAGACCTTAATTCCCCACTCTCACAAATAGATCAACTAGACACAAAATCAACAAAGAAATATCAGCACAAAACCAAACCCGTGAACAAATGGACCTAGTAGATGTCTACAGAGTGTTCCATCTTGCATTATCAGAGCACACATTCTTCTCAGGTGCACATGGGACGTTCTCCAAAATAGAACACATATTAGCCCATAAAACATGCTAAAGTGAGGCGAAGTGAAATCATCCCGTGTGTATTATCTGCATTCATGTTACCTCCTCTCACCTAAATCTAGCCCATCGCTGGAGGTGGCAGCACTACATAGAAATAAGAGAGCTCACTCTTCTCCAGACAGCTTTGGGGAAATGGCTTGACTTGCAAGAAATTGTGAAAGAAGGTGGCGTTAATGATTCCTATGAAACAGGAAAGAGAAGTCTACAGCAGTTTATCACAT